AGTGAAGCCAAGTTCTGATGATAATGTTTGAATCTTTGGATCAATAGGCAGTCTTTCAGTTAGTGCTGTCCTTGGACTTTCAAATTATGCAAGCTAATAAATTCCCTTTTCTGCTTAATTTGAGTGGAATTTTTGGATACAAAATAAGAGTTCTGGCTAATACAGTGAGACTGCTCTTGATAATGTTGTGGTGAGGCCAGTATGGTGGTCAGAGTAAATGGTTGGATTAGAGAATACAGAAGCTACCTTTCTCATATGAGGTAGCTAGATGATGATAGGTTTGGAGACAGTGAAGCTAGCCAACATTCATTCATCGAACAAACATTTATTGACAGGGATTTTATCAGGTGTAGATATATAAAGAAGACCAAGATACTCCCTTCTTTCAAAGAACTCAAGGGATCTAGTGAAGGAATAAATAAATGTAAAGGTTATTTGAGTAGTCTAATAATAGCTAAACTTTTATATGTTGGGCATTGCACTAGGTAATATAGAGGAAACAAAATAAGAGATTCTACCCTGTTAAAAAAAAAAAAATCAAGTAATCCAGTTAGGTGGCTATGATAATAATCTTAAATCTATGAAGGAGTGAAAAGCAGAGATCACATTGGAAAATGAACGTGTACAAATGCTAATTGAATTTATTTATTTTTTTGAAAAAGACAGTTATCAGAGGTGACCTAGCTGTTAAACCTGGAGGACTAGAAAGATGGTAATGCTGCTGATAATAATAGTAGCTAACATTTATTGAACCATTTTCATATTCCAAGTATTGTGCTAAGCTGTATGTATAAAATATGCACATACAACAACCCTGTGAGTTAAAAGTCCTGTTTTTAACTTCATTTTATACGTGAAAAAATGGAGACTTGCGATTAATCCGATCAAGCTTTCTCAGCTAATAAGTGATAGAGCTGGGATTCCAATTCACACACATCTGATCCTAAAACTTTTTGATCAGAAGACATACTGACAAAGAAGTTTTTACACATACACATTTCTTTGGTTTGCTTTATACCTTTAAGGGTCTGGTAGCACCTTTAGTTAATCATGTACAACAAATAGAAATGTAAATCTGGAACTTTAAATGAAGTTAGGGCTCCAGCATAAATTTGAGAGAGTCATAGTGAAGAGTTAATGCAGTGCTTAGAGAAAGAATGTGAAGAGTGGAAAAGCTGGTCTCTGACAACTATGGAGTACACCAGCATTTAAAAAGGCAAGAAGAGGAATCAGCCTGAGAAAGAACCAGAAACAAAGTTTCATAACTGAGCCTCTACTAGAATTCAGAGAAACCTAAAAGCCAAGGAACCATAGTAACCATCTGTTATTTTACAAATGAGAAGCAGTCTTATAGAGGTTAAATGATGTATTTAAGGTTATATATTGAGATGGTGCTGTTTCACTGCAGGCAAATAATAGTCATAGTTGAAGCTATAAGAAATCTCTTCTGAATGGAAGACAGAAAACAAGAAAGCAAAGACTCAACTTTGGGGAAAAGCCTACAGTTGAAGGCAGAATGGAGAGACTAACATTACAGAAAAAAAAGGAAAACGAGATGTAGTGGGTGAGCCAAACAAAGTAATGCAGTCTTACTGAAGCCATGAGAATTGAAGCTTTCAGGAGATGGGGACTTATTTCCTAGGTAAAAAAGAATGAAGATTGCTAAAAGGCCATTTAATTTTTCAAAGAAGCAATCTGTAACCCACAAAATTATGGTTTCTTTAATCCTGGAAGTATGCACTGGAGTGCCAAGTCTTAAGCAGAAATCATATTTTCCTTGAATCCTTATTTATATATGTTTTATGTCAAACAGTATATTTACTATTGAATTTTTCTAGAGCACTGCTGTCTAGTACGGTAGCTACTAGCCATAGTTCGTTATTAAAATAAGTTAAAATCTAAAAGT